CATATGCAGGTGTGGCACATTTATGTCAACTGCCAACCACCTCGGTTTCTCAAGCAGCGCCAACACCCGATGATTTTTGGTTCTACCGTTGTGGTTGGAAAGGTTCATCCCCAGTTCAGGTGTTTTATGCGCTGCGCACATGCAGACCCTTTTGTGAAGAACCAAGGGTCTCGCAGCTGGTGCAGCCTAGGTAAATAGCAATGATGGATGCGTTTGTCTTTGTTACGCCCCCAAAGCCAACCTGATACATGGCTTGAAAAGCGGGGCGTGCTCATGTTGGGTATGTAGGATCTTTGAACTTGTTTGCTGCTTTGGATCCATCATAACTTGTTAGCTTGCGCCGAGGTCAGAGCTTAAGTGCCTCCAAAAAGTTTGCACAAGGCACGTGCGATCCATTCCTTTGCAAGCCGCATATCAGCAGAATCCAGCAGAGGATCGAACTCGTCCAGGTAGCACTGAGGAAACGATTCCTGGCAAAAAAGGATGATCTGGGCACGGCTTTGGCTGCGTTCCCCACCGACTCGGATTATGAGTTGGATCCGGCGGAAAACTGAGAGCCATGGTCGCAATCTTGACAGGTGCCCAACCGTAGGGTTTGTATCGAAGGGTACTTAAAGTAGTTTCGTGCAGGATCTGCCTACAGTTGACCGAAAGCATGATGCGAAGACACAATCATGGCTTCTCTACATACAATGGAGAAACGTCCAATGGGCAAACCTCCTGCAGAACCCAAAAGCCATGCTTCGACATTAGCTTTGAGGCCATCTGGTTGTCGGCAGCCTTGGTGAGAAAATGACAGGGCAGCGGCATTTCTGTTGAGCGTAGAGTTGACCTGCCAACTGTTTCAACTCGTTGGCCTTCGCGTCCAGAAAGACATGCCAAGAAACACATGGTCAAAGAGAACTTACCAACTGGCTGTGGGTCAAAACCAATGGTACCACTTTGGGGTTAGGTTCTCCACCCATTTTAGAACCTATTTTAGTGGGGATTGGGATGTTCACTGGGGGTACGATTTGGTTTTTGACCCATGGCCAACTCAGCCCATCAAACTTCCAGGAGTCGACGGACCGTTTAAAGCTTGCACCCGGGACGGGCCTCTGAACTAAAACCAACCAGATTGTATCGCTCAGGCAAGTCGGGGGAAGCCTACTAGAGTTGCAACGCCATTTTGGGGTTCCCCCGAACATACTGTGGATGGACGAAATCCTGCACCACCTCTAGGAAACCCTGGAAGGATGATTCCCCTGTACAGGGTTTAGATGACAAAGAACAAGCTCGGGCGACATCCCCAAGAGCATAAGGTGCTCGTTTTAGTGCTCGCACCACCCCGCAGCCCTTGCAGACCCTCGTGGAACCCTCGTGGAACGAACCCTCGTGGAACCTTACATCAGGGCCGCCCCGGACCACCCCGAAGCCTATCTGGGCTGAGACCCCAAAGCTTTCAGCTGTTGGGGAAAAACCCAGGCTTGGGCGGATGTCCTGCTCCCAAAACCCTGGGTCCAGGGCTCTGTGCCGTTTGCCCCAAACAAACGACCGAAACCGACCAACCGAGCCAACCAACAAACTGGGTTCACATAACAACCATCAAACAAAACAGAAGAAGAAGAAGAAAAACGGCTGCCCTGGTTTCCCTTTGGTCTCCCTCTCAAAAGATCAAACACACACAAACAAACAAAGAAAGCACCCACGCAACTCCCGGCCAAACCGAAGGCATCGGTTCCTGGTCCAGCTCCTCGACCAGCTTGAGGCGTCGCTTCAGGGCGCCGGCCATGGGCTTCAGGGCGCCGCTGGCGTCCTTGGTCATGCCGATGGTGCCCCCGGTGTACCTCGGACTCCGATCCCGACTTCGAAAATCGGAAGCGGAAGCCCACGGAGCTTAGAGCTTCCCACGGGAGGTGAGCCCCTTCATTTTGGGCTAACTCGAAGGCTGTTACAAAGCGGTGTGTTGGGTGTTATGATTTGGGACCCGGGTCTCTTCCAGGGAATCGAGTCTGCAATTAGAAAAAAAAACAACAACAACAAAACAAAAAAAACGAAAGAGCCCATGGCGTTCGTGAAAAAGGGTAGGTCGACTTGGGGTGTGGACCCCAGCCTAATGGTGATCGGGGGTCAACTTTCGGGATATATTTGGCTCTGCAATGGTGCTCTTTTAATGCAATCTGAAAAGGGTTCCCTCAAACAAACACACCACACACACACACACCCACCTGGCGAGTCATGGGGTCTTTTGGCTCCTTGCATGTGAGTTACTGCACCATGTTTCTCTTGACCAGCGTGGCCACGGGAAAAGCAACAAATCATGGTCCAATCTTCCTGGCAAGAATTGTCTCAGCGATGCCCAAAACGAGAAATTCAGAAATGTTGAGTCTCGTAAAATGTACATTTTCGGGACCCCCCAACAAAAGACAAGGCAAACCCATGGATTGAAGTCAGTGTGGCTGGCTCAGCCCTGAGGCGTCAGGTAGGGCCGATCCGCCATGTCCCCTATGGTTTTTTGTTTACGCTCACCTGCAACCTACCCTTGCACCTGCGGTACCTTGCCATACCTCACGTGAGCTGCGCCGTGGGGATCCGGATGTTTGGTTTGGTACTTCATCTGGCTGGCGCAGCCACTTGAGGAGATCCCCCTTCGGCTAACTTACCTCTCTGCAGGCATCCTAACTTTGTCGGCACATGGCAGCCAAATGGCCATGGGTCAAACTCCAAATCGTACCCGCAGTGAACATCCCAATCGCCACTAAAATAGACTAAAATGGCTGGTGCACCTACCCCAAAGTGGTACCGTTGGTTTTGACTCACAGCCAAATGTGTCGAATCTTGCGGGATTCTCATTTGCTCTGCAGCTTACAGTCCGGATATCGCCGATGAGTTCTGCGGCTTGCGCTCTGCGAGGACAAACCAATTCGTTGCTCGAACAATTGCGTCTCCTTCCGGCAATGTTGCCACATTCGGTTTTTGGATTGCTCACGGAAGCTTTGTTTGCAGCAGGCAGCATCGACTTCGAGTCGGGCCGCCCTTGCTTTGCGCTTTTACGCTCGTCCTGCGCCGCTCTGAGGACTTTTTGCCGCTTCGAATGTGTTCCCTGAGCCGGCCACGATTCACACCTGTCGCATGTTCCACGGGAAAGCTCTCACCTGGCCTCCCCCTGCGTTCGCTTCCTTTCATCCCTCTTGACAACTTTACAGGATCACGTTTTGGCGAATCAGAAAATGGGGAGGTCTCCCTTCCTTTGGGACCATGTTGCAATTGTGGGTGGCATCTGGCTGAGCGTGCTCGTGATGTCCATGACATTCTTTCAGCAAGGTGCTGCAATGACTTTGGTATCGCATGTGCTTTGATGAGCTTCCAGCAGCTAAACGTCCTCTCTCTCGATACAAACTTCCCTACCGCTGCAATGGGAATCCCCACGCCATTCTTGAGTTTCGCGGCCGATGCGTTTTCGAGATTGGAATTCAGACTTCATGTCCCTGTCGAAGGGCAATGGACAATTTGTCGAATCAGAAACACTTGAAGATTGAACGTGGCTCGGGCAAAAGGAATGAATTGACCCGGGGAATTCCATGACAACTGCGCGGCTCTTCCTGATTGTCGTTTCTGACCCATGCCCCGAGCAGATTTGTCGCAATCAGCCGGGATACAGCAGCAGCACCGTCCGCCGGGAGCTCCTTGGCTGGCGTCTCCAGCCAAGTAGCCATTCCAAATCAGACGAGGCTTGTGGTGGCTTGGGTGGCTTGGGTGGCTTGGGTGTTTGGGTGGTTTGGGTGGTTTGGGTGGTTTGGGTGGTTTGGGTAATTTGGGTGGTTTGGGAGGGTGCGTGGGTGCGTGGGCGCGTGGGCGGGTGCGTGGGTAGTGGGGGGCGTCGATGTGGTGTGGTAGCACTACATGGCGGTGGCGGTGTGCCTGGATCATCCTTCTGCACCGGCAAGCAATTGACGCATCTTGATACGTCTCGTTTGCTTCAGGCGGTCAATCGAGCAAAAGATGAAAGTGGAAGTTGACCGAGAACATGGCGCTAGCATAGGTGTCCTTTTTGGACAATAGATGGCCCTGGTAGATGATTGAACCGCCAGGTAAACCAGGGCCTTCTACTTTCTAAGCAAAACAACCAAAAAAGGACACCTGCTGATGGACGAAATCCAATTCGCAACACCCAACAAACCCTGGAATGATTCGATTCCACTGTAAAAATACCAACAAACCATGGTTTCCGCATGGTTTCTTAGGTGGTGAAATCCTGCACCACCCAAGAAACCCTGGTGTCGGATGATTCCCCTGTAAATACCAAAAACCAAATGGTTTCTGCATGGCAACAAAGAGTGCGAAAAGGATTTCGCAGCCATCCACAGCGCCAGGCTTTGGGCCCCGCCAAGACTCCCGCGGGCGTTGAGCAGCTCCGGGGCATCAGATACCACCGGCGAGACCGGCGACGTGGCCCGCTTGTAGCCGCTGCCAGTGGCAGTGGCGGTCTCCATGGTGCCGGGGGCGCTCTCTGGCAGTGTCAACATTGCACGGAGTTGGATGGAGCTGAGGGTCATTCCCATGACATGAAATCATGTCAAGTCAGGAAACCAGCTCAAAACGCCAGTTGTTTCTTTCTTAACATTATTGTTTGCTTCCCATGATGTCCTATGGTCTCGAACGCTCGTCGAATTGTTGGCAACACTTTTCACACCCGCGTCGTTTGCTTGATTTGCCACTTGCCATTCAGAAATGCATTTTGGAATCGCTTCCCAACGTGTCGCTGCGAGCCAGGGTCAAGGTTAAATTCGGAATTGCAGGCGTTCCGCGAATCCAGTGTTGCTTGCAGCGAATCCTGACTAAGTGCACAGGCCTTCCATCAACGACCAATGTCCACCTTTCCTCACCCAGCGCAAACTGGCAAAACTGCCGTCAAGGCTGGATGCATTTGAGGAGGCACGTTTCAGGGTAACAAAAAACCTCTGCCACGCGTTAACCCCTGGTCAGACTTCACAACTTTTGGGCACGGCCGAAGTCCCTGCCTCGTCTTGCTGTGGCGCCAGGGCCATGACGGGGATGAAGGAGGACGCGCTCCTGGGCTCCCCTCCCTCCCAAGGTGAATTTGCCGCTTGGTCCCTGTGGTTGTCAAAGGCTTGCCCTGGTACATTGAACCAACAGCTAAAACCTGGAATCCCCTGGTCGGAGGGAGGCCCAAAAAACCCTTATTAAGCCCTGCTTAAGGCCTTATTTCGGGCTTATTTGGGCTCCCTCCCCTCCCTCCCCAGGCCCCATAGCCCCATCATATGCCGAGCTTCTGAATCATGTAATGCCCTCCCAGGTACTCGGGGGTAGCACCCACCGGCACCTGGGACTGGTAGACCTTCAGGCCCACCTTCGTCCAGGCGCCAATTGGGTCCACCTGCACCTCACAAACGCCAAAGGTCTGAGGTGTAATTGGGGGGGGGTTGGTCTTGGTTGCGGGGGGGAGAATCTTGGGGGGGGGGGGTCTTATTCTGAGGAAACATGTTTCGTGGTTTTAAAGGAACGCTAACAAAAAAAACACCATCTTGAAGGGGTTCTCTTGGATGAAAGCTACAGATTCGCCAATAGTCAGGGAGCACGCAAACCTGCCCCTTTGGGCGAGGTAAGTGAAAAATTGTCTGGACATGATATACTGAGCTCAGGTCATTACTCTCCCGCTTTCAATTGATCGTTTTGCGAGTCCCAATATTCCCTTTGGCTTCGGGGAAGTTCCCGCTCTCCTGGCGAAAAACCATACCCCCGGTCAAGCGCAAAGCGATGGCATTGGTCTTTGATTCTCATAAGGGTAGGCGGGGCACTCAAACTCAGATTAGAATTGGGGCCCAAAGGCCAAATCTCCGAAACGCAGAACGGAGACCACTTAGGAACTGGGGGTCGCTTCAAGGCAAAGTGTGCCTCGGAACTTCTCCTGGATGCAAGGTTGAACATGGCCGGTTCCATCTAGTCTTCTTCGCAAAGGGGGGAAATGGAGAGGAATGAAGTTCCAGAGGCCCCTCCCCCAACTCCATCGATGTAGTTTGGTGCGCCTAGTTGGAACAAAGGCTTGCCCTCCTTGCCCACATCGTCCTCCATGCAGCCCGGCCTTCCTCTGTGTGAGCGCTTGCATCAGGGAGCTGCGTCTCGCCTGACCGGTGATCCTTGAAGATCCCCTGAAAACACGGCAGCAGGGTGGCCTTTCTTGGTGCCTCTTTGCGGGTTGTGCTACAGAAGAGAAACCACGCATTTGACGGAAACCACCCAATTCGACGCGACACTCAAGGCCGCCCAAGAAGTCAAGGCCTAGCTCAGCCTGATTCGGTGAGCCGAGCCTTCAGCGTGTTGGTGCGCAGGGTCAGCGGCCGCGTCTGTTCATTCGCCTGCGTGGGAGCGCCGCAGTGCCAAGGAGTCTCTGGGTTCACCGAGTCCTCAAATTCGATTGCCCTGCAATCGGTGAACAAAAAAACGTTCCAAGTTGTGAGACCACCGCCATACGCCAGAAAATCAGCGAGCATTCGCCAGCAGGCGATCCTTCCTGACCCGAAAAGTCTTTCACTCGCTCGCAACCGCAAGGCTTGAGCCTCAAAGAACTTCACGGCCGTCTCCGGGCTGAACATCTGCAGAAAGTACTCCGCGAGGTCCTCGGAGTACCCGAAGTACGTGGAGCAGTTGGAGATGAGGTTCTTGAAGACCTCAACGAATTGGCCACAAAAAAAGGCCGGAAAACGGCCGGACAGGTGTTTTTTCCCCGAAGGAGCCACCGGATTCGACGGTTTAAAACAGGGGATGCAGAATTTGTTGATAGGGAGTTCCTATGATCCTTCTAAGCATTTAGGCTCTTTTAGTACTGGTGGAGAGACACTTCTTCATGTTGAGAGCGAGGGTGATGGACCCCGTGGATTTGCGGGCGAGTGCAGCCCTGAAATCACTGCGGAGCAGTGCCCAAACAAAAGAACTCCGCCTCCTCGCGCGACCGCTTCTCACCCAGCAGCTGCCTCAGCCGTTTCAGCTTAAACCGCAACTCTGGGGATCTGCCATCTGCTAGCTCTTAGCTCCACCCTTTGCAAGACCATTTCCGTTTTGTTTCACAGGCCTCCCGTGTTATTTGTGGGGAGAGGGGGGGTTGGTAAATTCGAACTCATCCATGTGATTCGCCAACCTGTTCTGTGGCGACGACACTTACCAATCACGTCCGTGAGACCATTTCCTGTTGGGCTGTCCAAATCTCATCCAATTTTGCCGGAAGAGCTCAGCATATGCAGCCGGGGCGCGCTTTTCGCCAATTACTCAGCAGGCCAGCATCATCCTGGATCTCTTGCTTCAATGCAGTGAGGTCCATCTGCTTGCCTTGCAAGTCCAGACAAGCATGGCAGTCTGAAAGCAAGTGGGGACAGAAGCGACTCCTAGCCTAAATTCCATGCACAACTTCTGCGCAAGCCAGCATTATAAAAGGCAAACTTGCGGTATTTGCGACATGGCAAATACATGGGCATCATGTCACATCTGGCATGTGTCAAACCTCCAGCCTAAGTGCGATGCCGAATACCTGGCCATCTGGTGCCTACTGTGCGCCACATCTCGTAAGCTTGATGCTTGAGTTGTACCAAGCCATAGGCGCGACCCAAAATCGGAGACCTCTGTGGTTGGTTTCCTCTTGGTTTATCCAAAAGCCCAGACGACCCAACTGTTCGCTAAGGAAATCCCGTCTGATAGCCTGCCTTCGCTGACGCGCGCCAGAATGCGGGAACCCAGGCGCTTGTCGCCCTGTCCGCAGGAAAAACAAACGGCACGGGGCGCTTGCGAAGACATTGCAGGGCCTCTGGAAGAGTTTCAGTCTCTCTGGAAGAGTCCCTTTCAGCATGCATTTGGGTGCTTGGCAAATCTGTGAGATGGCTGTGGGTCAAAAATAGATACCCAAAATGGCACCCTGGTAAGACTAAAATCTGCGGTCCCCTGGTGGTTTAATTTTGACCCACAGCCAAATGAGGCCCCAATTTTTTTCCACCACCTCCGGCCTTGGTGTCATCCATGGCTTCCTCCGCGTCAGCATCCTCTTCAGGCGCATCCGCATCCGCCTCGCCATCCTCGACTTCCTCCGCCTAGGCGCGAGCATTCAACGATCTACAAAAAGGCGCCGTGGCCGATTTCTACATATGGCTGTGGGTCAAAATTGGTTTTAGTTTTTGGCTCCATTTACCAGGGTTCCATTTTGGGTACCTATTTTTGACCCACAGCCATATCTATGTGGCATGTTCGAAGAAATAGCGCGATGGAGCACGTTGCAATTAACAAACAAGCATTCAACAAACACCAGTGTGAACTTGTTAACACCATTGGCACGCCAAAAAGAGCAAAACTAATCAGTTAACGAGTAGATGATGAGAATAAGTGCATTTATGTGTTTGTTGAATGGGCGAGCTTGTCTTGCTGGAGATTGTGATGCGAAGCGAAGCAACATAGTGGTAAAGCACAAGGGGTTGACAAACAATAGCCAGCAAACGGTTGAATAGTATGAGCCGCTAACTGGCGAGGATACAGTAATGCATATACTGCTGAGAACCTGTTCGAAACTAAGTAACTCTAGCCAAATATGATTGCTAGAGCCATGCCAGCTTAAACCATAGTGCGGAAGGTGTGCCGGCAGTTGTACAGAAAGTCATTGCATTGACCAGTGATGAGCATTAACAGAATATGCACATGGGGCAAGCATGAAGGCCAAGTACTATAGGAAAGCATTGTCAAATGATGAATATGCAACAATTGTGAATGGACACTGGCAAGTTCCATCAGAAATCGAGACAAAACACGGACAACCAGGAACGCCATGCTCAATGCGAAACACATTGCTATATATGGCCAGGATTTCCATTTCTTTGGGCGCGACGAACATGTGCCGGCTCCACTTGCTCCCGGCCTCTGAGGCCTCTTCGCTGTGGAGGTCAAGCCTAGCCCCGGAAGGGCAACTTGGATTTCGTGACTTCGCAACATGACCTGAACACGATCCATATGCAATATGTCGAGCTCCTTGGTGGCTGAACTCCCGTACGCAACCCTGAAAAGAGGTTCTGAAAGGGGACTCCAGTTCGCTTGACAAGTCGGCAGATGCAACTCGTTTGCTTCGCTTCGAAGCTTCGCCCCGAGATCGGGGCAAATGAATCAAGGAAGAACAAGAAGTGGAGCAGAACCCTTTTCTCATTTGACTCAGATGTGTTTTGTGGAAATCGATCCCTCAGGAATCAGGAACGCTAAATCGGTCCTTCCCTATGTCCGCTCAAAGGAATCTGATGAACCTTGCCGAAGACAAACTTGACAAAACAAAGCAGCCCCAAAAATCGGTCCCAAAGGCAGAAGAACAAGCGAGTTGCATTGCATAGAGTCAGCAATCAACATATTTGTATCCCGTAAGAATTATATCACCTTGGCGCATCATCTTGACTGAGGGCCTAGGAAGTCTGAAGGACCACAAGCATGCGGAAGGTGCGATCCAGGTGACACCACTTGCGAGCACCGAGAATCGCTCCACTTGGCTGTGACAGGCAATCTGCTTGTGGGCATAAAGAACATCTGGGATGGTCGCGGTGCCAGTGGACCAGCTTGATTAATCCCCACTAAGAGGGCACACCCCCGTATTAATCAACCAGGGGTTTATTAATCCGGGGTTAACATGAAATCTTGCGACCCTGCGCTTCAGTCCCTGGGCGCATCAAATAGAACCTGACGCTGACGCTCTGACTGGGGCGTCTCTTCGGTCGGGCGGCTGATCTTCCCCTTCGTCCTTGTCTCCCAACCAATCCTCCGCCTCCGCCTGAGGGAAGCTCATCGAAGCGCAAAACAGGGCGAAGAGCGGAAAGGATGGCACACTGGGAACAGTGCCCCACCCAACCCAAATATATGTATAAATAATATATATATATATACATATATCTTATTGTATATTTATGTTAACCAAAAACAAAGTGCCCTTGGTTCCGGAAACCTCTTGCTCTTGGAAGCCGTTCCCATGCCCAGCCTCCGCGTTGCTCGG